AGAAGTTGTGGCTCGCAATTGGCGAGCTCAAGTAGATGCTGGCAGAGGCCCTGGGGCGTGGCGGAGGCGGCAGTGGCGGCGCGGTGGAGGCGCTGGGTCGGCCGCGGGATCCGCGGCAGGCGGAGGCGGCGGGATCGCCGGCGGCGGCGACCAGAGGCGCGACGCTGAAGGTGGCGGCAAAGGCGCCGGCGGTGGTGGCAAGGGGGGCAACGCTAGAGGAGGCCGCCGAACCCGGGCAGGGCACGAGTGGGGGCGGAGCAAGAGCAGACCCAGTGCAGGCAAGGTTGGGTGCGGGCCCGGGTCTTTTGCCTACACCTACAGCCCTAGAGATCGCGGCCCGCAAGTGGAAGGCCAAGATGCCAGGCTATGACACGGAAGGGCCTCCATTGAATGTTGGGTCAGAGATGGTGGGCCACTATGCAAGAGGTGCCAATGGGCTGGGTTGGTTCGGCCTGGATGACGAGCCCGAAGATGATGAGTTCAGGTTGAGGATCAACAGGCGCAGGGGGCCGGACTGGAGGCGGACCAGAGGGGGTTCGGTTGGCCGGGTAGGTCAGCCGACCAGGTTGGACGGATGGGGTTGGCTCCTACAGGGAGTACCGTAGTGGGCGGGGCCGAGATGGGGCGGACCGAACCCGGGCGGACCGAAATAGGGCGGGCCAATGCTGGTCGAACCAAGGTGAGCTAGAACGGACCTGGTCGTGCCGGAATGGGTCGGCCCGAGGTGGGTAGAACCGGACATCGCCCGAGTCCTTCTAATCAGCAACCAAGAAGGGTGGACAACAGGGGATCGGCCGGTTGGGAGGGCCCACATGGGGCACCCTATACGCCGGGAGGGTATTAGGGCCAGGCAGGCGGCTACCCGGGTGACTACGGGCATGAGAATCCGAGCCGGACGGAGGAAATTTTGTATAGGCAGCCGTGGAGGACAACGAGTAACGACAGGTATGGGTTGTACTGTATTAATTATGAAGGAGATGATGGGCAAGAGGATGCAGGTGTTTGGTTGTATGCAGCTAAGAGGTGGTTTAGAAACCATCCAATTCCGGAGGAGAGAAAGGCCTATCTGGCATCGTTTTATTTGGAGGGTGATGCGCTCCAGTGGTGGGAGTGTATGGAGAGATCCTACGCAGCGGCCGAGACCTTGATCACCAGGCCTATGTTTCAGGAGGAGCTCCGCTACCAGTTCGGGATGTCAGAAGGGTGGGCCCCGGAGCAGTTGGCAAAGCTGAAGCAAACCGGCACTGTGGCCGATTACCGCGCTGAGTTCTTCAAGCTGGGGAACCAGTGCAAGGGAGGTCCGGAGGACACATTGGTGGGGCTGTGCATGACGGGCCTCAAGCCCGAGATAGCAGCAGCGGTCAGAGTATTTGAGCCAGATTCCTTGAAAGCTGCTTTTCGTCTTGCAGGTCATAAAGAGGAGGAACTTGCCAGCTGGAGGAGCACCCTAGGCCGTTACCCAAAGTCAAGTGGAGGTGGAGGAAGCAGTGGGGCCAGTGGAGGAACGCTGGCGGGAAATGCAGCGGGAGCTAACACCGGGAGCAGGGGCACGGCGCCGGTAGCTAGGATGGGACCGCGGCCCACACCGAAGGGGTTCGTGTGACTGTCTCCGGCCGAGTTTGAGCAGAAGAGGAGGGAGGGCAAGTGCTTCAATTGTGATGGCCGGTTCACCATTGGTCATCAATGCCCGAAGCCGTACCTGATGATGTTAGTCGGACGCTAGGAAGATGAAGCGGATGACGCGATCGAGGACACCGGGAATGGAGAGGAGGAGACCCAGTGAGCTCGAGAAGCAACCTTGGGGACAAGGTTGATTTTTGAAGTAAGCGGGGATGATAGAAACTTGCATTTTAGTACTTTGATTAATTGTCGGTTATTTGTTATTTCAGATTAATTGGGCTGTTTTGGGGAAACAGTGTTAAGTCGGGTAATAGTTGGGAATTGTCAATTTACATATAAACTACTTGTAAGTGGGATTATGCCACTAAGCAAGCATAAACCTAAATCCTAATTGCCTCTCTCTCTTCCCTCTCCCCTCTGCCGAAACTCCCCCTCCTCTCTCTCAAGGCCGCCGCGCGGCCAGCCCTCCCTCCCCTCCTTCTTCCTTCGTCCCACCCCCAAATCCCCTTCTTCCTCCACTTCTGTTCATCACAAGATCAATCCCTAGTTGATCTTTTCCCAATCCTAATCACTAGATAGTACCTAACCACCCGGGTTCTATCAAAATGCAATTTACTTCGTCTTCACTATGGTATCATTGAGTCAAGTGAAGCTTTTTATGGTTCGTGAACATTCTCTAACGAAGATGGGTATTGCCAAACTACACACAATATTGCATGGTATGTTGACGATGGGGATGATCCATAATCAGAGAGAAGGTTATCTAAACTAAATTTACCCCATACATTTGCTCATGGGCTTTGTTTTTGGAAATGTAAGCGGGTGGAAGCTTGCTCACTATACCTAAATGGAAGCTTATTTCATACAGTTCCAAAAATAATTGAACACATTCCAGGAGATATATGACTGAATAATTAAACAAATCCCAGCAATTAAAAATGCAAGGGTATCAATTTCAATCAAACACACAAAGAAAGAAACAACAACATGTAAGTAGAGGTGGCAAATGGATTGATCCATGGATTGGTGGATCCATGGATCCAATAGATTGGTGGATTCATGGATTGGATCAAGTGGATTGGTGGATTATCCATGAATCCAAAGGACATCCTGAACCAAGGACCAATATGTAAAATGTGAAAAGTTTAGGTACTCAAATATCATTATGAAAAATTTTAGGTACCAAAACTTAATTTTCCGATGATATTTTTTGTATAAAAAATTAAATTTTGGTTACCAAAATGTAAAATATAAAAAGTATAGGTAACAAATTGTAATTTGCCGTTTGGATCAAATGGATTGGATTAGGTGGATATTTTTAATGGGTTGTTGGATTGGATTGGTGGATTGGATTGAGAATTGTCACCTCTAATTTCAATCAAACACACAAAGAAAGAAACAGATACATATAAGTTCTCAAACATCCCATTTTCAAACCACACCGGCCCAAAAGGTGGGGGCAGATGGACTAGAGGCCATAGAGGGGAGAGAAGCTTCAGAAATAATGGAGAGAGGGAGAACCTGCAAATAGCCCCAATCAGTCGTCGGGAAGGGGATAGAAGGGGCAGAGGAGGAAATCGCGGTGGGAGGTGATGAAACAGGGTGAGAGAGAGGCGACAATATTTGTTGGATCCGACGGCAACGGCTCTGCAGAAGGATTGGCGAGAGGGTCTATAGAATATGGAACAAATAGGGAAGCGTCGATGGCGGTAGTTGCAGTGGGAAATAGCCACCATGAGCTTCCCATGAGAGTTGGGAGACAACTAGTCACTATAGGATTCCTGTAAAATTCCATACATAGTCGTTTTTCCTTTAAGGGACAAATGGGTCTTTTTCCCATGTGATGCCCGAACCCTAGCTGCTAGGTGATTAGGGTTTTCGGTTTTATATACAGGTACTTGTATATGGCTACGTATGAGAATAACAAGCTGAGATAGCAAAACTTCTCCGTGGAGTAAGCTCATTCACATCGAATGAGAAGAACCACGTAAATACTGTGTTTTGTTCATCGTTTTCGTTTTCCGCATTCATACAAATATTATATGGTATCAGAGCTGGTTTTCTAAATCAACAACCACGAGATGTCTAGCGGAACTGGCACTGATGGTGGCGCCTTAGTTGGCATTGGCGGCGGTAGTGGGGGTGAAAATCCGATCCCTCAGGCGATCCCCACAGCCCTAAGGATACAATCATCAGACAACCCTGGTCACAGGGATGGCAATCAAACCCATGCCCATGGGTATCCGACCTGCCCCCGATGCAGTCAACGCGGGGAATCCCAACATTGACCGGGTATGGGGCGGGTATGGGTAAAACCCGCAAAAATTTTGATGGGTATTGGGCGGGTATGGTTTTAGCCTCCCCCGTCCCATACCCGCCCCACCAAAAATATTTTTTCACATATGAAAAATATGTGAATCGATTTGTAACCTATCAATAATAGTGAGTATAACTCAATAAAAATATATAGTAGAAATGCAATTAAGTGACCACCCAAATCAAAATCTAATTTATTTGTCTCAATTTTCCCTTCACTCTTTCACTTTTCCCCTTGTTAACAAGATTATGTTAGTTAATTATTACTTAATAGATGTATCACAATAGAGAATAATGATTTGAATGACATTATACTCTACTCTGATATGGATTAATGGATGCTTTAGGATAAGATGCTTTGAATCGTATTAAAAATGATTGTCTCTTTTGTAAACTTCATGATATAGTAGGTGCGTTTAATGTTATAATTGAAAGTCTACATGTAAAATATTCCGTATTATAATGTTGGGTGTACGGGGCGGGTATTACCCATGGGTACCCGAAACCCATGGGTATGGGGATGGGTTTACAAAACCTTCCCCCGCATGGGTATGGGGCGGGTATGGGTATAGATATTTCAAAGCGGGGATGGGGATGGTTTAGGCAAACCCGCCCCATTGCCATCCCTACTGGTCAGCTATTCGTGGGAGAGGTATTGAATGACTCCAACTATGGAGAATGGGTCACTGATATGACCGAAGCTCTAATCGCCAAGAACAAACTTGAGATTGTGAATGGCGACCTAGCCAAGCCTTATAGGTTATGATATAGTCTTATACCACAAACTTGGTTTAATTTATTGTTTGGACATAAATATCTCACTAGGAGTGCACAAAGTATTTTCATGCATTTCAAGAGTATAGCAGGTTGAGGCACCCACACACATCGTTAGTCACGTTTAGGAAGCTTCCCATGTATTGGACGAGTTGGGCTGAGGAAATTAATATATAAAATTAAGGACGTTGGATAAAAGGGGAAGTGATAATAACATAATAATGATGGTTGTGGGGAGACCCACTTATATATATATTGGACGTAGATAGTAAAAAGTAGAAGCTTAAAATTAATTATTAAGACATTTATTTTTTAATTTAGAAGGAGAATGGATGGATCGGATCGGAGGAAAGATATATTAGTTGTAGGTAGGTAGGTAGGTTGTGCCTGCAGTTTTCTCCCACTGTGCTTGCTTGAAACTGCTTGGTTGGTGAACGTGATGAAGGAGATGGACCGATCGAGTTGATCAGCATATGACGGAGTTAAACGCTGTACAAAGAGCGAGACAATGAAATAGAAGAACATTAATAATCGTCGAATTGAAGGAGGAGAAGGAAGATATGGATATATAATATACGCACCCTTTGCAGGCAGTTTCCATGTTTAGGGTGCACTGCTGCTCAAGTTTGTCGACGTGGGGTTTGTCAAGCTGAGACATGAAAGTGCGAGAGCAGGAACATGCGTTTTTCAGGTCCTTGTTCTTGTAGTCCCTGAGGCCTGAGCAGCACTTGTCAGAAGGGACGCTCTTGTCAGCCGGCTGGGCGATAAAGTCGTAGCAGCTAACTGCTGCTGCTTTATAGTCGGCGCATGAATCTTGATTATCTGTGGCCGGTCGGGCGGCGTTGCTGCGGCTGGCCTGCAGGCAAATCACGACGGTGACAATGAGAAGCAACACACGAGAGAAGGTGATGATCATGGTATTCTTCATTATGGAGCTAGCTAGCAAGGTAAGATAGATTCCCCACAACAACACTACTACTACACAATCGATCACCGTTTAATTTCGATGGAGAAAGATTGGGCGTCGTGGTGTTGTGTGGGTGAAGAAATTTGGGTGCAGCGAATGCGTTTATATACTTACTAAGTGCCCATCGGATTGGTCTACCCAATGCCATTCTTTAATTAATTAATTCTAATTCATATTTAATTATCAGAAGATTACTAGTTGGTTAGTTACCCATGCTACCTTTCTTCTCTCCTCTCCGACCGTCTTCACATGCTTCCAAGACAAACGCAATTAACATTCATCCTACCTACCTTGCTTCTGCCTTCAAATCAAACAAAATGTGGCATATCCGTCTTAACTTCCCAACTAAATACAAAACCTAGTATATTAATTAGCATAACAACAACCAAACACAATTACCACAACCCCAACTTTGTAAAACTGTCTCCTTTCTTGTATAAACTTATCCAAATGATAATCTTGCCACAATGTTTCGTCAGTTTGGTGGACCCTCATTCGGTGGCCTCGGGATTTGTGATTCGCGTTTGTTGGCGGATCAAGGGAGGTCTGCGTCTGGTTTGGTGGATCCAGGAGAGATCCACGTCTGTTTGGCGGATCAAAGAGAGTTCCGCGTCTGATAAAGTCCTTGTACCGAGAAGCCCATCGATACAAGGCGTCTGGCGGATCAAGATAATCGCTAAGAAGATGACACGAAGTTCGTGGTCCTTGTCTTCAGCGGAGGATTGTTATAGGACAATCCAAGTACCGCATCGGTAATACAAGGGAAGGAACCCTTGTATATTAGAGTCCACCAAGCTCATTAGTAAGAGGCCTTTTGAGGAGGACACCCAAGAGTAAAACCGTGCGGGCTTGGCCCAAAGCGGGCAATATCGTACTAATGGGTTTCCCGGTTTGACAAGTGGTATCAGAGCCTGGTTCGGCGAATTCAGGGCGGTGGACATTAGTTTGCTAGAACCCTTATTCTGTTGCCTCGGGATTTGAGGTCTGCATCTGGTTTGGTGGATCCGGGAGAGATCCACATTTGGGCTTGGCAGATCAAAAAGAGTTCCGCTTTTGAGAAGCAGATCAAAGAGAGTTATGCGTCTGGTAAAGTCCTTGTACCGAGAAGCCATCGATACAAGGCGTCTGGCGGATCAAGATAATCGCTGAGGTGAGGACACGAAGTTCGTGGTCCTTGTCTTGAGGGGAGGATTGTTGTAGGACAATCCAAGTACCACATCGGAAATACAAGGGAAGGAACCCTTGTATATTAGTGTCCACCTAGCCCAATTAGTACGAGGCCTTTTGAGGAGGACACCCAAGAGTAAAACCATGAGGGCTTGACCCAAAGCGGACAATATCGTACTAATGGGATGCCCAATTACGACAAGTGGTATCAGAGCCTGATTTGGTTCCAGGGCGGTGGACATCAGTTTGGTGGGATCCTCGTTCGGTGACCTCCGGATTTGAGATCTGCGTCTGGTTTGGTGGATCCATGAGAGATCCACGTTTGGGCTACATCTGGTTTGGCGGATCAAGGGAGATCCATTATAGGTTAACCGAAATAAACACTCTCCTTACCAAAAACTGATCGAAATCGGCTTCGGTTATCTCGGTGATCGGTTAACCGAACCACTTTTAAGACCAAAAATCATTTCGTCCAGATTCCGATAACCGGCCAAAGTTCGGTTACTGGTTAGTGGATGACCGGCTAGTTATCAGTTTAACCGGTCGGTTAACCGGTAACCGAACTGCCACCTCTATTCTACCCATAATCAATGGGTCTACTTGGGTTTAGGTAAATATAGTTCATTAGCCCAAAATTTCAAAATATTTGAAATTGGATTTTGACTGTCATATATCTTTTCTCATTCAATATTATATTATCAAGTCAATATTATTAACAAATTGCTAAAAAAAAATTGATTTTAGGCTAATAATACTAACAAAACACCATAACGGGTCACATAATACATGCCGGTAGGCCATCTCCGTCCCGAGACAAGACGCGGGATCTCCACCTAGTATTAATATAATAGGCAAACACAATTACCACAACCCCAACTTTGCAAAACTGTCTCCTTACTAGTATAAACTTATCCAAATGATAATTTTGCCACAATGTTTCGTCTCCGTTAAGCTTGCCAATTTGGCTAAGTAGCAAACTAGGACGCTCAACTTAAGACCTATTAATTGCACGTTGGACAATTTCTAGATATTAACATAGAAAAATTTATAAGATTACACCAAATAGATATGAATTACGCTGAAAATGTGGAAGAAAATATATCAATTTTCATGTTTCCTTAGACTGTTGAAGTTGTTTGGTGTCAACGGACTACACATCGATGTATGATACATTCCGAATCATACATTTTTTCACTCCCCAACTGATGTTCATTTTTGTTTTAATTTCAACAATATTTCTCTGTTTTTGCTAGTTTTATTCTTAGTTTGGAATTTCAGTGTGTTTCTGGTCACTGTAATTGAATTTGATGATGTTTGGACAAAAAAAGTGCACTAAGGATTGGAATTATGGACTTTAGAACAATTTGGATATCATTCGGACACAAAGATCCCTCCAAAAACTAAAGAAATAAATAAAATTAATAATTTTCGAGTGGAACACTACCATTACAAAAAAAAAAATATGATCATTAATGACAAATTTTTTCGACCCCAAAAGAAAAATTGCGTCAGAAATGTATTTTTACCAACGACATATGTTCGTTGGCCATTGTTAAGAATTGTCTCATCCCTAATAACCTATTATAGGTGCCATGTCAACAATATTCTTATTACCTACGCGCATTTATCATCAATACACTAATTACCACAACTAAATACAAAACATTGTATATTAGTACAATAAGAAAACACAATTACCACAACTAAATACAAAACCTATTATATTAGTATAATAGGCAAAATTTCACCTTTGGACCCGTTTTACGTTTTAAGTTTGTTCGAAATTCAATCTCTTCTTCGAGGAGATTGGGCTGCGTATTTTGATCTCCCAAATCAGCACATCCGTGCTCGTATAAGAACCCTTGTATATAAGTTTCCACTTAGCCCAATTAGTACGAGGCCTTTTGGGGAGGACACCCAAAAGTAAAACCGTGCGGGCTTGACCCAAAGCAGACAATATCATACTAATTGAGCATCCTGGTTCCGACAAGTGGTATCAGAGTCTGGTTCACCGGATCCAGGGCGGTGGACGTCAGTTTGGTGGACCCTCATTCGGTGGCCTTGGGATTTGTGATTCGCGTCTGTTTGGCGGATCAAGGGAGGTCCGCGTCTAGTTTGGTGGATCCAGGAGAGATCCACGTCTGTTTGGCGGATCAAAAAGAGTTCCGCGTCTGGTAAAGTCCTTGTACCGAGAAGCCCATCCATACAAGGCGTCTGGCGGATCAAGATAATCGCTAAGAAGAGGACATGAAGTTTGTAATCCTTGTCTTGAGGGGAGGATTGTTATAGGACAATCCAAGTACCCCATCGGTAATACAAGGGAAGGAACCCTTGTATATTAGAGTCCACAAAGCTCATTAGTAAGAGGACTTTTGGGGAGGACACCCAATAGTAAAACCGTGCGGGCTTGACCGAAAGCGGGCAATATCGTACTAATGGGCTTCCCGGTTTGACAAATGGTATCAGAGCCTGGTTCGGCGAATTCAGGGCGGTAGACATCAGTTTGGTGGAACCCTTATTATGTGGCCTCGGGATTTAAGATATGCATCTGGTTTTGTGGATCCGGGAGAGATCCACGTTTGCGCTTGGCGGATCAAAAAGAGTTCAGCATTTGGGAAGCAGATCAAAGAGACATCTGCGTCTGGTAAAGTCCTTGTACCGAGAAGCCCATCAATACAAGGCGTCTGGCGGATCAAGATAATCGCTAAGGTGAAGACACGAAGTTCGTGGTCCTTTTCTTGAGGGGAGGATTGTTGTTGGACAATCCAAGTACCACATCGGAAATACAAGGGAAGGAACCCTTGTATATTAGTGTCCACCTAGCTCAATTAGTACGAGGCCTTTTGGGGAGGACACCCAAGAGTAAAACCATGCGGGCTTGACCCAAAGCGGACAATATCGTGCTAATGGGCTGCCCAGTTATGACAAGTGATATCAGAGCCTGATTCGATTCCAGGGCGGTGGACATCAGTTTGGTGGGATCCTCGTTCGGTGACCTCCAGATTTCAGATCTACGTCTGGTTTGGTGGATCCATGAGAGATCCACATTAGGGCTACATCTGGTTTGGCGGATTGAGGGAGATCCATTATAGGTTAACCGAAATAAACACTCTCTTTACCAAAAACTGACCGAAATCGGCTTCGGTTTCTCAGTTATCGGTTAACCGAACCACTTTTAAGACCAAAAATCATTTCGTCCAGCTTCCGATAATTGACCGAAGTTCGGTTACTTTGGTTACCGGTTAGTGGATGACCGGCCAGTTATCAGTTTTACCGGCCAGTTAACCGGTAACCGAACTGCCACCCCTATTCTACCCATAATCAATGGGTCTACTTGGGTTTAGGTAAATATAGTTTATTAGCCCAAAATTTCAAAATATTTGAAATTGGATGTTGACTGTCATATATCTTTTATCATTCAATATTATATTATCAAGTCAATATTATTAACAAAATTGTTAACAAAAAAATTAATTTTAGGCTAATAATACTAACAAAACACCATAACGGTTCACATAATACATGCCGATAGGCCATCTCCGTCCCGTGACAAGACGCGGCATCGCCACCTAGTATTGATATAATAGACAAACACAATTACCACAACCCCAACTTTGTAAAACTGTCTCCTTTCTAGTGTAAACTTATCCAAATGATAATCTTGCCACAATGTTTCGTCTCCGTTAAGCTTGCCAATTTGGCTAAGTAGCAAACTAGGACGCTCAATTTAAGACCTATTAATTGCACGTTGGACAATTGCTAGATATTAAAATAGGAAAAATTATAAGATTACACCAAATAGATATGAATTATGGTGAAAATGTGGAAGAAAATATATCAATTTTCATGTTTCCTTAGACTGTTGAAGTTGTTTGGTGTCAACGGACTACATATCGATGTATGATA